TATTTATTTATTTGTTTATTTGTTGTTTATTTGTTATTTATTTATTTGTTTATTTATTTATTTGTTATTGATTGATTGATTGATTGGGAAGAGACCAAAAAAGGCCTAACCGAATTGAAAGCAAAAAAAGTTTTACGAAATAAGAAAAAAATGAAGAAATAATTCTAATTAGCCAATGAACCCAATTTCTGGCCTGTCCTACGCCTCTGCCTCTGAGTGGGCTGCGGGAATAGCCAACAAGTGTTAATGCAACAGGGCACAGCGAGATCGCAATCAACAAAATGGCGGCCGGCCACAAGGCGTGCCCAAAATGGCTGCCAGGTCCGGCGCGAAGACTCAGAGACGGAAGAGCCCCTCAAACGAAAACCAAACTAGCCTTAAAGCAGGCAAAACGAGGGGCTGAAGGGAAGAGAGCTTCTCTCATTCGTGGGGGGAAGGCACAACAGAGCGCAAAGCAGAGCGCAAATACAAGCTAAAAGGCAGGACGGCTTAACAGCGGCAGAGGACAGAATGGGAGGGGGGTGGGGGGGCGAAAAGCTGCTAAACCCCCGTATCTCCCCCCTGAAGGGCCAAAAAACGCTCCTCTCGCCTAACTTAAAACGAATCAAATGCGCAGGGACCAAGGAGGAAAAAACAAAACAATCAAGATCTTGTCGATGACCCAAGCTCTGTAAAGGACCTTGGAATACTCACCTCTAATGATCTAAGTGCTAGAGCCCACTGCAACTACATAGCCAAAAAGGCATTAAGAGTTGTTAACCTAATCCTACGTAGCTTTTTCTCTGGTAATATCACACTACTAACCAGAGCATACAAAACATTTGCTAGACCAATACTCGAATACAGTTCATCAGTCTGGAACCCACATTACATATCTGATATTAGCACAATTGAGAAAGTCCAGAAATATTTCACAAGAAGAGTTCTCCACTCCTCTACTCGTTGTAGAATACCTTATGCCACCAGACTTGAAATTCTAGAACTAGAAAACCTTGAATTACGCCGTCTTCGGTCTGATTTAAGCATGGTATATAAAATCATACATTGCAATGTCCTACCTGTCAATGAATACTTCAGCTTCAACCATAAAAACACAAGAGCACACAATAGATACAAACTCAAAGTTAACCGCACCAAACTTGATTGCAGGAAATACGACTTCAGCAATAGAGTGGTCAATGTCTGGAATACTCTACCCGACTCTGTAGTTTCTTCCCCAAACCCCAAAAACTTAGACTGTCTACTATTGACCTCACCCCTTTCCTAAGAGGTCTGTAGGGGGCGTGCATAAGCACACCAACGTGCCTACCGTCCCTGTCCTATTGTTTCTCTTATTCTTCTTTTATTTTTCTTATATGTACCCATTTCATGTATTCACAACTATGTATACACTTATACTTATTATCTTGTAAACAATTGGCAAATCAAATAAATAAATAAATAAATAAATAAATAAATAAATAAATCAAACCTGAGAATAATTGATAAAAAATCCTGAATCGGCCAAGGAAGAACTGCTAATGCTGCCTGTCTCTTGCAAGGCCGAGCTAAAACTGGGGAATGCTACGGAGGAGTCACGTGGAGGAGGAGTTCCTCAATTATAGCTCAGCCTGTAAGAGTGAAGACTGGAGCACCTCCCACTCTGGATGCTCGCAGCAGCTCTATGGAGAATAGTGCTGTTACCATCCTAGGGGCCTCCAGAACTGTTTGCACTACTGAATTCTGGACCAATTGTACTTTCTGAATAATCTTCAAGGGTAGCCCCACATAGAGTGGGTTGCATTAATTCAGACAAGAGATGAACAGGGCATGAGTGACAGACAGCGCATCTGAGAGATGATGCTGTTCCAATATTTGAGGGGGCCCTATAAAGACCAAAGGGTGAAACTATTTTCCAAAGCACCAAAAGGCAAGAGAAGAAATGACGGAGAGAAGCAGCTTAGAACTAAGGAGAACATTCCTAGCGGCAATCAACCAAGAGAGTAACTTGCCTTCAGAAGTTGTGGGTGTTCCATCACTGAAGGGCTTTCAAAGAGACTGAGCAGCCACTTGTCTGAAATGGTGTAGGGCAGGGGTGTCCAACCTTGGCAACTTTAAGACTTGTGGACTTCAACTCCCAGAATTCCTCAGCTAGCAAAGCTGGTGTAGGGTCTCCTGCTTGAGCAGGGGGTTAGACTAGAAGACCTCCAAGCTGCCGCCCAACTCAAGTTATTTTATGTTCTGTTTTTTTAGCTGCATGGACCTTGGCTCAAGAACAAAAGTACCCCTCTCCCAAGGCAGATGCTGATATCCAATAAATGTCTGATGCATTGCAGCAGCTGTGGAATTTTTTGTGAATACTGGGGAAAGAAGTATTGTCCTTTTCCTACCCTAGCTTAACTCTTTACAACATTGATCAGTCTGGAGTTGGTTTCCTGGCAGTGCCAGACTGGCAGCAAGCAACTGCCCACCTACACTTCTGTAAGGTCAACCTGGCATTCTTTTCTCCATTTGCTTGAAATGAGGGATGTCTCCGGATTGTTGTCTGCTCAAGATCTCTCATCTTGCACGTGGTAGCACCTCTAGAAGATAGAGTCATCCTAAAAACACAGCAGTTCAGGTTTTATGAGCTAAAATCAATAAAAACATTACAGCTGTATCACAATTAAAGCAACAGCAGATTCTAGTAGCTTCACTTTCAGCCCTTTTCTGAATCAGTCTAGGCTTTTTTTACTCTGTTCTTCTTCATCCTCTTTTGTTAAACCCTCTTTTCCTCTCTCAGCCCACTATTTTATTAAATCCCTTTAAATAAATAAGCCCAATGGAATTTTTACCTCTTTAAAAAGGCACAAAGCGTATTGGATACCCGTTGTAATACTACATTCACAGCATTTCAAATTAAAAGGGAAAATAGTTATTTGCACGATCATGCAAGCAGGTTTCTCCTCAGGGTCCTCAGTTTAGCCATATACATTCCCTTGAATAATTTGGAGGCAGACAATTTGAACTTATTTCTAATCTTAAGTAATTAGGCTCTCAAAATTAGATAATTAAAGATTTGATTTATGTTCCACTTCTTTTCCTGGCACCCAAGGCAGCTTCCAGGCTTCATATTTATATCCACACCACAGCAGTCCTGTGAGGTAGGCTGGACTGAGAGATCCAAAGTCAGGAAACTAATTTCCACCATTAAGGGTTGACTTGATCCTCCATGGTCCCAGAATAGCACCTTAACCATTAGTATACAATTATACTTTCAATTCTCAGTATATATGAAGAACTTTTATTTACAGAATTAAAAAGGCTATATAATGAATTTCAGTAGTCACGTTATAACAAAAATATTTTATAAAAACAATCTATTTGATTTAATTCTAATGAAAACATTTCAGCAAAAATGTTATTGTCTTACTCCTGAATGGTGTGTCTAGTATTTACCTGATTAACACATTCAGTTGTCATGTAAGGCAAGTTGGTAAGAGTACATATGCTATCCATTGTTCATATAACATGAAAAAAATCCTAATTAGTTAGTTATGCTGAGTTCTTTTCAAGAAGATTTTGTGCATATAATCCCAAAACTTCCCTTGATGAGTTTCATTATGATGAATCATAGCTGTGAGAGCTTCCCCTTGATCAAGACTCTGCCAGTAATCTTGAAGCCACATTTCTTTCCAGCTGAAACATACAGAACAAAAATATTATTTAAATCTTTTTTTTGTCACAGAGAGTGTCTATATATGGTCAGAATAAAGCATTATTTTGCAACTAAATGGGAAGATAAAAACGAAGTAGGATGTTACTCACTTGCCAAGATCTTGGCCAAACATTTTGGTATTAATCTGGAACTTCATGAAATATTTATTTCTGAAGTTAAACCACATATTTGGTACAGAAATTAATAGCTTTGTTGAAAGGAAAATCTGGAAAAAAACTTTAATCTATGTATTTAGATCAGGTAATGTAGAAGGGATGATCAATAAGCTACAGTATTACAGTTATAGGCGTGATCTCAAACCATTTTTGCATACTCTAAAGATCAGTAAGACTAAATATGATAATTACAATAGTAATTTTTTCATCCTACAGATTTATTGTTATGTTGCCTCTACTGTATTATGTGATTAGATATCACCTACCTATGTTTTGAAAACTCCAACATTTTAGGAGAAGCAGATTTAAGACAAGGAAACACTCTTTGTTTTCCTGATTTTATTCATGAGACAAGCTGATTTCAAAATGAAAATCAACTTCTCAGTAATTATGCAAGTTAAATGAAATTGTCCCTCCCATTAAATTTCCAGTTTAAAATTTTTATTATAGCTTATCATCATTTTCATATTAAATACTTTAAGATTTGTTTTCTTCGCTATATAGATTAAATGTAATTATTAAATGTGGTATATTTTTTCTTCCCTTATGCACCAATGAAATCATTATTTTTATTCAAGGATTGGGTGTCACACAGATGCATGTTATGGTTTTAGGTGGTCATGGTATTGCATATCTTGAGAACTCTTGTTTTAACTAGTGGAGGCTGCCATGTGAGAGACAAATGTTGCAGCATGTTAAGTGCTTCATATTCTTCTATTAAAAGCACAAGAACTGGGTTGAAAAGTTGGCATTCTATAGTTTATATATTCTGCAATACCATGTAATGTCTGCATTTGAGAGAATGATCAGAACTACCCATTCTTTAAGCTTAATTTTTATAGTGGGATATAAAAGTGAGAATGTTAATTACATAATTGTATTTTAAATTTAATTTAAATCTAGCCATTTAGTGTAATACTAGGTTGACCTAAAATGGCTCTATAGTACAATATATATATTTAATATAATCAGATCAAGTGTTTCCAGTCCAGTTTCACTTATATGCTGCAATTTTGCCACCAGTTCCATAAGAATGCATTCTATAGTTTAGTAACTCAAAAGATAAAACTCATCACAACACTGAATTAACTTTATATCCTTAACAGTAAAGGCAACCACCTGTCTCCATCAGGAATGTCTTCAATATTGCCATAACCAGGTGCTGGTGAAGGACATCCCATGTGTGTGGTCTGTGCTATGTGAACTTCTGGAGGTAGTGATTTCCCATGAGCTTTTTTGTGGTTTCTCTCTGCATTAAGTCGTGCATTTTCTCGGTCACAGACGAAGCACTCAAATCCATTTAGATAATTAGGTAGGGACATGTCGTTTACCCCCCATTCACGTTTCCTCATGTTCTCAAGCAAGAACTGGTTTGTAATACCATGTGGACTCTTGTACTTCAGATATTTCAAATATTCATCTGAGTTCCTGTCCAAAAAATCAATATATTCTGCAAGTTCTTTAGGGCTTCCAAAGTCGTCAATAAGAATAATGGAATGATCAGCAGGCATCCAGTCTCGTACAGATGGTGAACCTCGATATACAGGGATAGCCCCTACATGCATTGGCCTCCAAAGTTTCTCTGTCATATAATCAGGACATATGGCATTCTCCATAGCCAGATGAAATTTGTATTTAGAAATAAAATTCATGAATTCAGAGTCCTCTGTAGTGGCTGTAGAAGTGTCCATCAATCTCATATTGGGAAGTTTTTGGTTGTTCAGGCATCTACCATAACAGTCTACCTGGAAGAGTGACGATAGTGATCTGTTACATTTTACACACCAACTTCTCTTCTTCCCTCCAACCCCACCACATGCTTCTCAGGAAAAGCTTAGATTGTTTCTTTGCTATGGAAGAAACAACTAGAGAATTTTAAATATTCTGTTTCTTTTCATTAATACGCTACCATTAATGTGTTATCTAAGGGGAAAAAAACACATCTAGATAAAGTAATCATTTCCTCAGATAAATTATCTCCTAGTTATCTAACATATACTTGACACTCAAAGTTCAAAATATAATAATGACAAAATAGGAACTCATCAAAAAATTGCTAAACTGATTACCGCAACTATTAATAAAGACCATCAGCTTAACCTGAACAAGGTTTTTTTTAGCAACTTCTCAGGACTTTTTCTCAACCAAGACCTGTCTATTTGTCTGTTTGTTTCTCTCTCTATATATATATCTGTGGGAATCCTCCCCACTCCAGAAGAATGAAATATTTTGGGAAATATTAAAAAAGGCAGAATGTTATATTTCCCTAAAGGAGAAATGTGTTTTAGAGGCAGAAAGCACCCCCCAAGTCTTTTTAATAGACCACAGCAGATGCCAGCACTTAAGAGATAAAGAGCTTATTGAAAGAGGAAGACTAGATCTAGATAGCTCTATTCATAAGCAAAGCAAATACTGCAGGCTGAAACCCATTCAAGATACGATATTTCGAAACTGCTTGCAGCCATTAGCCACAATAGGAATTGCCCAACACCCTTTCAGAACACAAGTCCCTCTTCATTGCACAACCCCCAGAACAAGCTAAAACTTCAAAGTCACAGAAACCTATAAAGATCCATCCACTCATTCAACCATTTGGTCAGAAACTGTCTTTGTGGTTCTGTTCAATAAACCATCTTTCCAATCAGTCTCCATGTTGTTCCCAGCGTTTTTTTCTCACCTTGGAACTGAACCAGATGGATTTTCCTTCCAACATTACATCCACCACTCCCTCCCCAGGGCTGTGTGCTCTCTCCACTTCTCTCTGTATACCAATGACTGCATCTCAAAAGTAATGTTTAAGTACTGAAGTTTGCAGATGATACAACAGTGATTGGTCTCATTCAAGACAATGACAAATGTGCATACAGACGGGAGGTTGAACAACTGGCCTTGTAGTGTGACCAGTACAATCTTGCACTCAAAACTGTAGAAATCCTCCTATACTACCACCTCTTACAATACTAGACAACACAGTATCAACAGTAGAGACCTTTAAATTTCTAGGTCCTATTATACCACATGACCTAAAATGGACACCTAACATCAAAAATGTCATTAAAAAAGCACAACAAAGAATGTTCTTTCTGTGCCAACTCAGGAAGCTCAAACTGCCTAAGGAGCTGCTGATACAGTTCTACAGAAATTATTGAGTCTGTTATCTGCACCAGACACAGATTTCAACGGGTAATTAGAACTGCAGAAAAAACAATTGGTACTAACCTGCCTTTCATTGAGGACTGTATACCGCATGAGTCAAAAAGAGGGCTGGGAAAATATCTACAGACCCCTCACATCCTGGACATAAACTGTTTCAACTTCCACTGTCAAAATGACATTAGTAGAGCATTGTGCACCAGAACAACTAGATACAAGGACAGTTTTTCCGGCATGCCATTACTCTGCTAAACAACTACCCTAATTTCCACAACACGGTCAAACTATTTACTAAGACTGTATTACTATTCTTCTTGTCATCCTTCCTATCACCAATATCCTTCTACTTATAGTATGTAAGTACTATAACCTTGTTGCTTGTATCTTTACGATTATATTGTTTTATTTAGTTTTCTAGTATGATTTTGATTGCTTATTTAGTATCTTATGACTATCACTAAGTGTTGTATCTTATGATTCTTGATTAATGTATTTTTATGTACACTGAGAACTTATGTGTGTCCAATCACATTTGGCCAATAAAGAACTCTATTCTAATTCTTTCTATATCTTAATATATATCTATCTTAATATATATCTATCTATTATCTATCATCTATCTAATCTAACATCTATCAATACCGTGTTTCTCCAACAATACGGCCTCCACCAATAGGAAGGCCCAGCATGTTTTTTGGGCATAAAATCAAATTAAGCCCCTCCCCCCAAATTTAGGCCTATTTTAAAATATGCAAAATAAGGGGGAAGGGCGGGGAGACTTGCCGTTAGGAGCGCCCGGCGGGCCGGAATTCCTCGCCACCAGCCGCTCCTAACGGGCGATCATGGCCAAGCACAGAGAGCTCCCTACTCCCACTTTTGCTGCAGACACCTTTGGCACCCGCCGCTGTTGCTTTCCCTTCTGCCCATTACGCCGCCACGTTTGGAGCTGCCGCTTCCGTGTTTGGAGTGCCGTCGCCATTTGGAGCTCCAAACGCGGAAGTGGCAGCTCCAAACATGACGGCGGGCGATCTTTTTATTTTGGTCCGCGCGAAGTTCAAAGCGAACAAGAGAGGGAGACTGCGATGCCTCCATCCGAGATGGCAACCTCACTAGTGGATCACAACGTGGCTGGAAGCCCGAATCGGCGGGATACGATGGCGATCTTTTTGGAGTGAGAGGAAAGGGAGAGAAGAGTTGCGAGGCGTAATTTGCAGGAGGAAGTGGGCGTACCCCACGGCAGGGAGCCCAAGGAAGAAGGGCTGGTAGGCAACGGAGAGCGTCCCGTAGCTCCGGAAGCAGCCTAGAGACGCGCCCGGGAAGAGGCGCAGATGCTGCCTTGTAGTCCCCAAGCCAACTGCGTGCG